GTCACTGCCTTCCAAATCCAAAGGCTACTTGGCCTTATGGCTGCAACTACGTCAGTTCTCGTCTTTGCCAAACTGAAAATGCATCGTTTACAACTGTGGTTCATCCGGAATTACAACCCAGCGAACAACGCTCACACTGTCGTCCTATCCCCCCCTCCAAACATACGAGACTCATTACTTTGGTGGACTGTCCCTTCCAATATCTTCCAGGGAGCACCCTTCCACCCTCCGTCACCCCAAATCACCCTGACCATGGATGCTTCCCTGTCGGGATGGGGTGCACACATGATGGGTTTGTGCGTCGGGGGCAAGTGGAACACCCACGAACAAGGTCGACACATAAACTTCCTGGAACTGCTCACAATTCAGTTCGTGGTCACGAGTTTCCTACCAATAATCAAAGGGAAATGTATTACGGTCCTCACGGACAATACCACTGCGCTCAGTTATATAAACAAACAAGGAGGCACGGTCTCCCTACATCTCTGCAACCTCGCCATTCAGTTATGGGACTTTTGCATCGCTCACGATATCTTTTTGGTAACCACACACATTCCAGGTCACCTGAATGTGCAGGCAGATCATTTAAGTCGAGCAAGGCTCAGTCTCCACTAGTGGGAGATGAACCCGTCCTATCTTTTCCTGCTCTTCCACAGGTGGGGATCTCCCCAAGTCAATGTTTTCGCCACCAGAGCCAAGAAAAAATGTCCCGTTTTGCAGTCAAGGCAGCAGCGACTCACAATTGCTCGGAGATGGTCTCCTTTTTCCCTGGTCCTCAGGCCTTCTGTACCTTTTCCCTCCTTTACCCCTACAGCAGCTGCCATGACAGCAGCTATGGCAGCTGCAGCAGGAAGTGGTCTCATAGAGCAAGAAAGAGTAGCCAGTGGCAAGTGTCAGCTAGGGTAAGTTTTAGCTGCATGCTACTGTTATCAACATATATAGTCATTATAAGCACCTTGTACTGTCAAGACCATGTACTTCTAAACACAAACATAAGAAGACTGACCGCAGATGCATGCTGACCCAGTGGACCGCCGAGGAGAGCCGTGAACAGCGAACCCACTCGGGTGCTGGTAGGCAGCCCCATCCCCTGAATAATGTGGCCATAGAATTAGGAGCAATGTGCGCTTGCAGCAGAACTGTAAACCGCTCTGAGACCTCCGGGTCTGAGCGGTATAGAAGCCGAATGTTAAATAAATAAAAAAATAATTAAATACTTCTGAGAGTGGTACGCAAGATCATCCGAGACGGAGTGGACTGTTTGTTGATAACACTGTGGTGGCCGAGACAACCATGGTTCTCCACAGTCCTCGAGTTGTCAAGGGGAATATACCACCTATTCCCTCCGGCACAGGACCTCCTCTTCTTGTCAGACTCCCCTCTCCTACATCATGACGTACCACGCTTGAAGTTGACGGTGTGGAGAATAACGTCAAAGGTTTTTCAACCCGTGTAGCCAATGTTCTACTGAACGCCAGGAAACCTGCTACGTGAAGGTCCTACCATTATAAATGGCAACTATTCTGTTCTTCCCTAGGGGATGATGCCCCTCGAGCCTCCTCCGCAGGCCTCGAGAAAGTTTTCCAATTCCTCCTGTCCCTAGCTGACTCGGGACTTTCCCATTCATCATTAAAAGTTTATTTGGCCGCAATTTCGGCCTACCATGTTCACGTCGACGGATGCACCATGTTTTCACATCCACTTTCAATACTTTTTTTAAAGGTTTGTTACACCTCTACCCTCCTGTCAAAACTCCTGTTGCTCCCTGGGATCTTCCTCTAGTCCTTCGTCAACTTACGAGGAAACCCTTTGAGCCACTCGCAACGTGCGACCTAAAATTCCTATCATGGAAGGCTGCCTTTCTGGTTGCTGTCATCTCTGCAAGGCGAGTTGGAGAAATACTGGTTTTCAGACATGACACACCTTACTTGTCCTTTTTGCCAGATGGTGTCCACCTCATCCCTGACATTTCATTCCTGCCAAGGGTAGTGTCAGAGTTCCACCTACAGGCAGAGGTCTCCCTCCCGGATTTCTTCCCACCTCTGAAATCCCCAGAGGACAGACTGTTACATACCTTTCGATGTCAAAAGGGCACTACTGTTCTACCTCAACAGAACCCGCCCAACGAGACGTGACTCCCAACTGTTCATCTCATATGCACCAGCAAGGCTGGGGACTAGCATCACAGCTCAACGCCTCTCAAAGTCTCATCCTCCTCTGCTATTTGATTGCAAAGCAGCCGTTGCCTGGCCCCATCAAGACCCATTCAACCCGGGCTGTTGCAACTTCCACTGCCTTCCTCCAGGGAGTACCCCTGATGGACATCTGCAAGGCTGCTATCTGGGCCACGCCTAACACCTTCATGAGGCATTACGCCCTGGACGTCTGTAAGAACTCTAATACCAACATGGAACGTCACATTCTATCTTCAGCGACGCAGTAAGGACCTGCCAGCACCCTCCTCCAGGTAGGCCACTGCTTGCTAATCTCCCATGGATGTGAAGCACAGAGACCACATTGAAGATAAACAGGTTGCTTACCTGTAACTGATGATCTTCAAGTTGTCATCTGTGCATTCACACCACCCACCCTCCTTCCCCGCTGCTGTCAGCTTCTACATTTTCAATAGGGGTTGATTTGCGGCGGTTCGAAGGAACTGGCGAAATGTCTGCGCCCACCCCTCTGGGCATGCGCGATGGGGTTCCTTCACATGCCTGAGGTCTGGGCGTGAAAATCCGTTAAAAGAGCTTGCTACAGCACCAATCAATCTAGCGTGTGCGCACTAGATCCCATGGGTGTGAATGCACAGATGATCACTCGAAGACCATCAGTTACAGGTAAGCAACCTGTTTTTTTAGCAGGGACGTACAGCCTTCCTGTGCTCCAGTCATCTATGCTTCTGCTCTTCCCCACTTCTCTGTTGCCCCATTATTATTGTGCTACATGCCACTCTGCTTCTCCTTTCTTGCCTGGGCTATGAGGACTGAAAAGCGAAGAGTTATTGTTTACATAAAAGAGTGCACTGGAGCATCCCCTTCTGCATGAAAACTTGATGGATGGTTCTGTCCAAAAGTCTTAAATTGCAGGACATTGAATCTTCTTTTCACACAATGTACATTTCTAACTTCCACAGCTACAGAGAAAGGGGGGAACTGAGGCTAGAGAACACTTTAAACAGCTTTCTGACAGCAGCGAAGGCAAATATGTGTGTGAGGGAGGGGGAGAGAATGTGGAGCATTTTGACAAAGGGTTTCAGACTGGAAATAATAAGCACCCCAATTAAATCAGAGATTTGGTTTTTAATGCCAATCTGCATTGTGAGGCATCTTTTCTAAAGTTCGAACATTTAGGAGTGGCAGGTCTGAATATTACCCCTTTCATATCTATTTCCTTTTGATGGAAACTTAGATGTCTTAACAAGACTTTAGGCAATGGGAGGCAAAGTCTGCTTGGCAAAAAGAATCTACGGATCCCATCCTCTGGCATCTGTGGGTCTTAGCTGAACTTGATTTTTGTTTCAATGAGTGGGGTGATTGTGTGCATTGGTCTTGTTCCCTAATGATGTGCAGAGGCCCATAATGATTGAGTCTGATGTGATCTATAAAGAGTAGCCTTATGTCATTATGGCAGAAAACAGCACTGCATCGTTCTTTACTACTTAAGAGATTAATAATATTTAATATGCATGTTTACTGAAAACATACACTTAATGTTAGTATGTAGTACAGCTAATCCTAGGAAGGCCCAGTACAGGATGCAGGGGTGATCTTCTTCATGGTCTCTGTGCAGTCCCACACATGAGTACTGTGCCTGTGCTGAATCTCAGAGAATTGCAAAACTTTCCTTAGTCATCTTGGCACATTTTCTCTTCAAACCCTGGGGAGCGGGCATGCTCTGTGCATGCCCAGAGCTGAGGAGAAGGTATGTCCCACTCAGTTCCTCTTCAACTGCCACTCAAACCAGACCTTTTCTATCTTCTTTCCTCTGTCGTTTGTCTTCCCATCTCATTTTCCACCTTCAACTTGATCCTTCTGTAATTCGTTGTCCTCCTGACTCTGTAAAAAAAAACACCACCCCTTTGTGAGTTTTTGTCTTTGTTTTCCCCTCCCCCCTTCCCTTCCCTCTGTGGAGTTCTTTGAGGGTGGTGCATGGGAGATGCTGACTTCTTCAAAAAGTGTGCTTCTTGTGGAACTAAGTTCCCTTCTACCAACGGTCACTGACTCTGCCTCCTCTTGTCTTGGTGAGGCCCACCAGGTAGACTCCTGTCCTCATTGCACTAAGTTCACGAAACAGCCACAAAGAACCTGGGCTTGTTGGCTCCCTAGCCTCCTTCTTGAGGCGTCCTTGGCTCCACTGATGTCCTCTTCAGCTCATTCAGCATCGTCTCCATCTCCTTGACCCCAACAGCACACCCCGGTACCATTAGCTTCAGTACTGGCCAAGTAATTCTACTGGTCTTCTCTCAATCACTGTCAGCGTGTTTCTCTTCCCTGGTCCACCTGTCTTCTGAGCATCGCAGGATGATTGCTCATTGGTAGCTACAGCAAAACCAACCCGTTCATTCCTGGAAACTGCCTTGCCACCGGTTCCATTCCTGGTCTTGGAATCCCCATTCTCTGGACTGCCACTGCTCTTGATGGTCCTGCTCTCCTTCTTGACATTGGAGCCATGAGCAATACTCCTCTGACTCTCGGACCCCAAGACATCCTCAGTCCTGATCTTCTCATCAATTCCGACCATGCTACTCCAGAGATTGTTCCAAAGCCCAGTCCTCTTCCTATCAGGACTACTCCACTGCTTGGAACTGACCACACTTTTGATCTTGATCCCAATACTTCTCAGATACCCAACACCAATCACTGTGTCCACACAACCCCTTACCAATTGGTCTCCCCCATACTGCTCCAATGAATCCTTTGGTTCCAATGCCCACCGATGTTCCTATGGGCCTTCCTCTCTTGTCCATCCCACTTGCTCCTCCCTTGCCCCTTCTAGAAGACATGGGGAATACTTCTCCAGAACCACTGGATGTGACCACCGATGATTCTGACTCCGAATCCATTGTCCCTCCAGATGCTTCATCTGACCCACAAGTAGCTCCACAGGGTTCACTGTCACACTGAGAGGACTCAAAGTCCTACCTGGAACTGGTCAAGCCTTTACAAATTCAGGTCTCTTCAGAGACCCCTAGAGTAACTAATTTGGTCCACAAGCTTGTGCAAACTGATATTCCTTCAACCGGTTCTCCTGATGCTGCCTGTACACCTTGATGGCCTTAAAGATGCTTGGGATAAACCTGCCTCGGCTCTTGCAATGTTCAAACCCTTGGAACCCCTCTATACAGTCCAGCAGTCCAATGCCAAGTTTCTCTTCACACATCCAATTCTTAGTTTTGTGATCATCCAAACCTCTTCTGCAGCTCGGCAAGCTAGACAGTCTGCTCCCCATGACCATGAAGGTTGCAAACTTGACAATTTTGGGCAAAAGATCTACTCTAACATCATTGATGGCCAAAATTCATAATTATCTTTTATAGCTCTCTGCCTATTCCTTCCATCTATTGACTCAGCTTACTATCTCTTATGCCAATAAAAGTATTGTATTTGTATTTGACTCAGCTTACGCCGCTCATTCCTAACCCTGCCTCCAGCTGATAAGGCCATTGCCATTGCTCTCATTACAGAAGCCTCCACGATATCGAAATAGCAGATCAACAGTATCAAGCATGTGGTCACTTCCTTCTCCCATGCTTTGGCTACATCCATCACTTTTCACCAACATGCTTGGCTTTGTTCCACTTTGTTACTGCCAGATGTCAAGATAAAGGTTGAAGACCTTCCCTTTGATGCTGATGGCCTATTTCATCCCACTACTGATGAAACCCCTAGAAGGTGGATGATAGCCACAAGCAGGCTAGAAACGTGGGAGTGACACCATTCTCCTCATGATCCTACCCTAAGCAACATCCTTGGAGGCCTCCTACCACTCACCCTCAGTTCAAGTTATCTTTTTCTGCTGACTCCTGGAGGAAGAAATCTTTCTATCAAAAACCTCCAGGTTCTGCAAAAGGCAGGTCTCAATCGAACAAACATCCCAACCATTCCAGCAAATGCTCTGTTTGATTCCTTTCCCCTCAGAGAGGTCCCTTCTCAAACTCCTCCTGTGGGCACTTGACTTCTTCCATTCTTCTTGGTGTGGAGCATAAGAACATAAGAGAAGCCAATGTTGGATCAGGCCAATGGCCCATCTAGTCCAACACTCTGTCACACAGTGGCCAAAAATACCATGTGCCATCAGGAGGTCCAGCAGTGAGGCCAGGACACTAGAAGCTCTCCCACGATTGCCCCCCCCAGCACCAAGAATACAGAGCATCACTTGCCCCAGACTGAGAGTTCCTATCTATACCTTGTGACTAAAAGCCACTGATGGACCTCTGCTCTATATGTTTATCCAGGGGTCGTTGAGTGGGATACGCCATTGAGTTTCTTCCATCTTTTCCATGATACGTACCCACTTCCCTGCATTGCGGGATAAGGTCGGCACTCTACTTGGCAAAGGAACCATCAAGCCAGTACCACCAACGGCTTATCATCATGGGTTCGACTCCTGATATTTCATAGTTCCCAAACGCAATGGCGGGAAGTGCCTGATAATGGACTGATCTGAACTGATATGTCCACCCAGTTCTGGATGATTACCTTGCAGGCAATTCTACCACTGCTGCCCAAAAATGCCTGGATGGCATCTATAGATCTACAGGATATTTACTTTCACATCAAAATCTAGCCGCAGCATCATCGTTATCTCCAGTTCACGGTCGGCAATTTCCATTACCAGTACCGGGTATTTCCTTTCGGCCTTTCCACTGCTCCTCACGTCTTCATGAAATGCATGGCGGTTGTTTCTGCCACACTTCGTCTTCAAGGGATTGTCATTTACTCGTGTATTGACAACTAGCTCCTTGTCTCCTTGTCACCGACTCAACTCAACACCGATCTCTGTACTCTGCTTCATTTTCTCTTGAATCTCAGCCTCTGTTTAAACATCTCCATATCCTCCCTGAGGGCTACTCAGGTTCTTCAGTCCATAGGTGCCTGACTTCATGTGCCTCTGAGGAAAGCCTTTCTTCCCCTCGACAGAGCTACTACCCTCCAGTCCTTGGCCAATCTCTTCCAAATCCATCCCACACAATCAGCATGAATGATTATGCATCTTCTTGGTCTCATAGCCTCCACTGTTTTCATTGTTCCATTCAGACATCTTCACATGTGACCACTACAGATGTGGTTCCTATGGCACTTACATATCCACCACCAGTCACTTTCTTCCCTTCTTTGTGTGCCTCCGACTGTTCTCTCCAGTCTGCAGTGGTGGTCCAGCCAGGACAATCTGCTTCAGGGTATGCTGTTCCATGATCCCCTTCCAGATGTCCTGGTCACCATGGATGCCTCGCACTGGGGTTGGGGAGCCCACTGTGAGGATCTTACTTTGCAAGGCCACTGGCTGACCCACCAGACCCATTTACACATCACCTGCTTGGAGCTGTAAGCAGTTCATCATGCCCTCCGCTCCTTCCTACCTATGGTCCAGACTTGAGTGGTGCAGGTTGCCATGGGCAATGTGGCAGCCATGTACTACATGAACAAGCAAGGGGACATGGGATCCAAGACCTTTTGTTGACTTGCATAAGATTTATGGAACTGGTGCATCCTCCACAACATCACCCTTTCTGCCATCCATGTTCCAGGGGTGCTGAATGCCGGTGCCAACTATTTCCAACAACAACAAGAACTGTGAAACTAATATCAAAATAGTTAATATACCACCCTTATATTATTTTCTTATATATCTAAGTAATCCAATTACAAATTATGTAGACTGTTCACTTATATATCTAAGGCCCCGTTCACACGGAGCAGAAGCCACGCTAAATAGACGGAAGAGAGGCGGAGTTACCTGGAGCGATCACACGGCAACATCTGGGGAGCGTAGAGCTCCCGTGGTTGAACTGTGGCGAACCGCCGATAAAACGGAGCAAAAAACTAGTACCTCGGAGGTACTAGTTTCCGGAAACTGCGGGGCAAGGGCGGGCGTCTGATCGTGTTTCCGGTGGCATCCGGCACCCGTCCATGTCCCCTTGCGAAGAAGGGTTTTTTTCCCAAGTCTCCGTGGTTGCGCACACGCACCCAACGGAGCATGCGCATTCGTAGTGTACACAGGAAAAGGAAACCAGGTTGCCGCGCCGCGCGCTTCTTCGTTGCGCGCAGGCGTGTGGTGTGATCAACGCCTCTCCGTAACCACGGAAGCTCCACGGTTCCTCCACAGAACCTCCACAGGAGGTATGATCGCTTTACTGCGTGTTAGTTTGCCCTGGGGCAAACAGCCACGCTCCCCCCCCCCGCAGTTTCCTGTCCGTGTGACCGGGGCCTAAGTTGAATATCAGGGTGATCCAGCACAGAGAACTAGGCCCTAATACTCAACGGATAGAATATCCACTTTTGAAGCAATCTTTCCTTAAACCTTGAGAAAGCTTTTACTTAGATATATAAGTGAACCGTATACATAATTTGTAATTGGATTACTTAGATATATAAGAAAATATATAAATATTTACTTAGATATATAAGAAAATATAAGGATGGTATTTTAGCTATTTTGATATTGGTTTCACAGTTCTTGTTGTTGTTGGTTTTCTACTGTGAATTTTTTGTGCTACTACCTGATGCCAACTATCTCAGCAGGACCTCCACCAGTGAACACCAGTGGTCTAACAATCCAACCTATCTTCATGCCATTTTCGACCAGTTCAGTTACCTGGATGTGGATGCGTTTGCTACTGCAGAGAATGCCAAAATGAGGTCACATGAGAAAAATCTTTGGGAACCACTGCTTTCCACAAATTCCTGGGCAAAGATAGTATGTGCATGACCCACATTATACACAGCAAGACCTTCTTGTTCCAGGATAGGGTGTGGTACATGGGTAACTCCTAGGGCCCTGCAGTGGTTCCAAGATTGGGCTAAGGCTCAACCCATTAACTGAAGACAAATGCTACTGGTGCAATTCAGTGAGCAAAAGGCATAGTGGAGGTGTTTTGGAGCACTCTGTAACTTAGCATTTTTTTGTCTCAGAACACTTTGGAGAGGATTTGCACATAAGTCAGCTTTGCCTAGGAAAGTATTTGCTGCCATCTAGTCCAATCCATGAATTGATGCTTGGGTTTCCAAATCACCTTGACTTTTCATGAGCCTGTTGGTGAACTTTAGCTGTTCCCATATTACAAAGATAAGCACCTGTGACTTCATATATTGCATGTAATTTGAAACATACATGCACTGGAAGTGTTTTGGTGACCTGCTGAATACTAGCTGCATTCAGCATCCTCATTATTGTCAGGTAGGAGGGAGGTACAGCTTGGCCTGATGTCACTCAGTACCTCCTACCAACTGTGTTTTTGCTTGCCTGTGCTTAACTGCCTAGAAGTGTTACAGAGGTCATTATTAATTCCTCTCATTCTCTGCTCAGGCATGCCTGGTACACACCAGTGAAACCATCCGGGTGCGTTACTTCATGGATCATCTCTTGGAGAAGCACAGACCAATCATGCTGGTGGGAAACGCAGGCACAGGGAAGTCTGTGATTGTAGGAGACAAGCTGTCCTTGTTGGATTCTGAGAAATACATGGTGAAGAATGTTCCCTTTAATTACTACACTACGTCTGCCATGCTGCAAGGTAAATCCACAGGCAAAATGTCAGGGTTGAGACTAAACTTATAGACAGTTGCTAAAGTGTGGATCCATGAATTCAGGGACTAAATTGCACTGATATTCAGAATAAATATATACCCCAAATCAAAACGGATCAGTGGAGATTCATGAATGTCCATTAAGCTATTGAGAAAAGACTCAGTATGTGGAAGCATAACAATTGCAACTCATGGAGTGGAATTGAAATGTAAAGGAGAGAATAAATTCTTGCAAATTAAAAGGTCACAGTATAGGTCAAACTAGCTAAAAAGGTAAAAATAAAGATGCATTTAAAACCATGCTTAAAACAAAGAAAAAACAGCTTTGCTATTGAACCATCTTGTTCTTAGAAAATATTCATGGCCAATAGTACAACTTTGTTTTAGAAAGAACTAGACAAGGTAATGGTTAGTTAATAGTCTTTAATAATCCTCTCAAGGTTTGTACTTGTTGTTCTAAAACTGTAAGAAGTGATTTGCAAAGAATGGATAGTTTTTTTTGTTGCACTAAGGATTTGCCTAATGATGGAGACTTTTTGATATTGTCAAAAAGTTCTGTGTTTGCAAGGGGAGCAATTTTTGTCAGTTTTGTCACAGCAGACTCATGTTGCTCTTGGAGGTTCCCCATACCATGAAGCAGTATTTTGGGGGGCATTATGAACTGCAGCAAAAGGGGGAAGGAGCAGGGGAATCTTAGCCATGGGGCAATTGGGGCAGCTACTCTGGGTGGTCCCCCAACTGCCCATGGCCACACCCCTTCCCTGACTGAGGTGGAAAGAAGAAGGTTAGAACTGCCCACTCTGGGGCTTGGGCTGGTGGGTGGTAGCTGGCTGGCTGAATGGCTCCAGCACATGCAAACCCCCATACCCTCTAGGGCTTGGGCAGATGTGTGACAGCCAGCTGGTTTGGTGGTTGCTGTGCCTTCTGCTGACCCCTCTTGGATTGTTTTTAGTTTTACAATTTGGAGAACAATTTGACTATAATTGGATTATACCCTGCTTGCATAACTGCAGATAACCATGTTGTGATTTACAAATAATAGTTTGGGACACTGTAAGATTTTGGACTGATTTTTAAACTTTTCCAGTCTTTTCCCTGGATATTTACATCTGGCTCTACCCTTTTTGACTTTACATTTTTCCTGGTTATTGGTTCTCTGTCTCTTACTGGAATATAATGGTTCATTGGGTGTTTTCACTGGATATTTACATTTTGACTCTACATTTTTCTGGGTTATTGGCTCCCTGCCCCTTACTGGAATATTGGCTTTTATAAGGTTTATTGGTTTTTCCACTGGAGTATGATGGATCATTGGATGTTTATTTTTTTGTTCTTGGGAGTAAGAAGTCTACCTTTGTGGATTATAAATTTGAGACAGATATATCCTTTGGTGTCTACCCATTCTGACAGAAGAAGTCACAGCATTTCAACATGACTGTAAGAGTTTTCATGAAGGTGGGCTGCTGAGTCTTATTTGGGTTGTAAAGAAGCATTGGATGCCAAGAGAAGAAAAACAAAGTTGTCATCTGTGTCGTCATTTGAGCTACTATAAAGAAATAAGGGGGACTACATTTGGTGTGTTTTAAATATGTCTAGTGGAGTGAGAAAACACTCTATCCCTTCCCCAAGTCAGGGTAAGACGGTAGCCTCCAGTTTGGCCCAAATGTCTGTGCAGGACTTACAGACACTTATACAAGAAAGTGTCTCCTTAGCTATAAATAAGGCAATTGAAACTGCAATTCCTTCTGCTGTGAGTAATGCCGTGGAATATACTGGGTTCAAACACATTCTGTGATCAGCTCATTATTTATTATTGATTTCAGCTATATGCATGCAAAAGGTAAAACCCCCCCCCCACACACACTCCCAAACTGATTGGTTTAGCATAGGAAAAGGAGTACGACAAGGAGCAAGCATCTTTTAATTTCATGGCTGTAATCACCATCTTCAGTGATCTTGGATCCCAGGAACGTGAAGTCTTCCACTGCTTCCACGACTTCTCCTTCTATTTGCCAAGGAGTGATGGGGCCGGATGCCATGATCTTAGTTTTTTTGATGTTGGGAGGAAAGTGATGGCAAACCTTGACAGCATTATAAAAAGTAGAGACATCACCCTGCCAACAAAAGTCCGTATGGTCAAAGCAATGGTATTCCCAGTAGTACTGTATGGCTGCGAGAATTGGACTATAAGGAGGCTGAGCGCTGAAGAATAGATTCTTTTGAACTATGGTGCTGGAGAAGACTCTTGAGAGTCCCCTGGACTGCAAGCAGATCAAATCAGTCAGTCCTAAAAGAAATCAACCCTGACTGTTCCCTGGAAGGCCAGATACTGAAACTGAAGCTCAAATACTTTGGCCACCAAATGAGAAGGGAGCACTCTCTGGAGAAGACCCTGATGCTGGGAAAGATCGAAGGTCAAAGAAGAAGGGGATGGCAAAGGATGAGATGGTTAGACAGTGTTATCGAGGCAACGGACATGAAATTAAGCAAACTCTGGAGCACAAGACAGAAGGGCCTGGCGTGATGTAGTCCATGGGGTCGCGAAGAGTCGGACTTTTCTGTGCGACTGAACAACAACAATCTGTCCATTGGTCTAGTCTAGGATCCTTGCTTCCCTATTGGTGTTTTCTAGGATCCTAGCCAGCTATTGTTATGGATCTTTAGCTGGCCGGACTAACCCAATACATTACAGGGACCCTGAATGCTGTGCTCTCTGGGGGACATGTGGGGAAAGGCAGTCCCTCAGGTATGTAGGCCCCTGACCATAAAGGGGTTTAAAGGTAAGAACCAGCACTTTTTAAAAATAGAAAAGCTGTTTTGGGAGGAGGCGTGGAATTTGAAATGGAAAAGTGGCACCATGTGTGTGCTTAGTATTCTCCCTGTCCGCAGTTCCTCCTTTTTAAATCCCTCAGAGGGATTAAAAAAATGCATGTTTGCTCACATGAGCAGGGATCTGTACCTCTGCAGGGTGGCAGTATTTAAGTGGAAAAACAGCAAGCAGAGAAAGAGTGGAAGCACTACTTTTCTATACAGAAAACCCCTTCCCCAAAATTATTTTCTGGGCAGGGGAGGGCAGAAGAGTTTTGCTTTCCTATTACATGTTCTTTCATGGTGCGTTTAGTTAGTCCCTTAAAATAAAACTAGAGATGCTTAAGTTTTTGCATGTACCACTAAACTGTGTTCGAGATAAGCAGATATTATATTTATGTGTTGTGACTGAGCTGAACCCTGTCATCTCCTTTGTACTGGGAGTGGAGATGAGAGGCTATATCCAGTGAGTGCTTATGATAATAGACATTCCCAAGCACTTACAAAAGGCTGCTTGCTGGGCGAGAGTATCCGATACATCACTGCAGAAATTTCTGATCTGCACATTCAGGATATATGCACATTTGCATGAACGTCCTGGGCAAGAGACTTGTATGGGTACCTGAGGGTACACAGGATGGCATGAATGACGTCATATTGGAGAAGGCCCTGTGTGACCAGTAGGAGCTTTATGTTCCTACAAAATGCTTTGTGCCCTGTACGGTCATGGAGCTTAACAGATTTCCAGATGCAAGTAGTTGTAGAACATAATGCATTTAATCCTGGAAAGATTCAGCAAAAGGCTGCTGAGCCTTTTAAATCCCATTCCAAACTACAGAGCCTTGTGCGAGGCTTCTTCATGTGGCAAATTCACTTAAAGAATATTCCACAGAAACTCATGTCTCCTAGCCTGTCAGCCCCAGGGAAGCACAGCAGATGCCTAATAACCCTCACACTCTGTGAGTGTTCATTCCAGTGTAATTGGGATCTAGCTATTCCTCTGCCAGAGACATGTGGCCTTTGATATGATTGTGAGAAGCATTCTCAAATTAAAATACTGCTTTTACAAATGTGTCATTTGATCTCTCAGTAATTGCATTTCATTTTGATATATCTTTTGCATACTTGTTAAATCCCTAAAAGGGGTATTTTCTATATTAATTAAACTCTAATTAAATGCTTATTTGAGAGACAGTATCACACTTCCCAATTTTTCAGATTCTGGAAGGAGTTTGTTGAAAGAGTGAGATTGTGCATTGACAGAAGTGTTATCTTTCACACAGCACTTCAGGTTCTTTTGTGCCACAAACTGTCAGACAATGAGAACTCGGATCCTTAGCAATGGATGCTAAATGCAAAACAAGAAGCATTTTTGATAACCTTAAATTTGTAAGCTGGGTAGTGAAAAGAAAATGACAAATCTACTTTTAATAGCTGGGCATTGTGATTATTAAAAAGTTAATTATAAATTGCAATATGCAGATATTTTAAAACATTTTATTCTTACAGGATCTCTGCAACAATGACAAAGTTCTATTAAGAACTGCTGTTTTGTAATGCAAATTTTAAAGTTTCTGTCTTTTGATGTATGTAAGATGGTGCCAGTGGGCTGGATCATGTGAAGATTTCCACAGATGCAAGGAGAGGTGGCAGTTCTAGCCAATTCCCCTCCCCTAGGTAAAGGTTTCCCTTGTTCGAAAGCCAGTCAAATCCGACTCTAGGGATGCGGTGCTCATCTCCGTTTCCAAGCCGAAGAGCCAGCACTGTCCAAATACTTCTCCGTTGTCATGTGGCCAGCATGACTAGACACCGAGGCATGTGGAACGCTGTTACTTTCCCACCAAAGTGGTTTATCTACTTGCAACTTCTTTTCTTTTTTACATATTTTTATTTATTTTCAATAGCAAACAAAATACAAACATACATAAAACATAAATATGGGGGTACATTATAGATTAATTGTGTTTCAAGTGCCTTTTCCATACCAATTTCAATTTAGGACCTTAAAAAAATTATATTCTTTTTTGCAAACAATTTGTACAGGTAAAAATGCTGTTCTAGTCTATAACATCTTCTATGTAATATTGCTTACTGTCCTTGTCTTGTTTTGTTAGAATTGTAGTTCTCATACCATATATAAAATCTTGTCCAAGTATTTTCAAAAGTTTTTTCTGTGTGG